TATGTGCAAAAACTGGACAATCCAGTGCAAAAATGGATATCTGGTCACACTAAATGCATGCTTGATATATCAAGCTATCTTACTTGATACGGTGGAAATGTGACCGGGATTCACTTTAAAGCACAGTGAGACCCAGTCCCAGTCAACATGAGAGAGAGCCCCTTTAATTACAACTTATTATTAAATATTATTTTTTTAATTTTTACCTAGTTTTTTAAAGATTTTATAATTAAATCAGTTAATCATTTACTAGTTATAGTTATAATTACATATATCAATAAATAGCTCTCTCTCTCTCTCTCTCTCACACACACAATATAATTGTTCTGAATTTATGAGTGGCATATTAAGTCAATCCCAACATTTTCTACCTTGAAATAAAATATCTATTCTTTAAAATTACTGAAAACCTTATTAATAATTTGTCATATTTATTTTTGATGCATATTTTAACGTAATAGCTTACAGTTAACTTAAGATTAATTTTCTAGCTTTTAATTTAATAACATACAAACGTTTTATAATTTAATGATTTATTTCAGAAACTTTTATAAAATTTTTAATTGATCTTTAAATTATTTGCAATTTATTTTAATGTAATAAATTATAAAAGTCTAAAGTAAATAAAAACTATTTAATTCTAGAATTATAATTTTATATTTAGATATCAAAAAAAATTATTAAACCGAGTACATTGTATAATAGTAATACTTTATACTGAATAAAATATTAATCAGATAATTTTCCATAATTAACTTGTTTTAATTTTAAGTGAAATAACTTATTGCTAAATATAGCATTATCATTTCTAAGAATGCATGTACTTTTTGTTATATAAATTAACGTGAAAAAATTTTAAAACTTATCTTGTTAATCCCCTTAAAGGAATAATGTTTAAGATAAATACATTCATGTGCCTTAAAGGACAAACATTTGTTTTGTTTAATATATTTCCCATGATTACTTTAATAATTGTCACACTTCATTACATAATTACATTAATTTGTTAAATGATCATGTAATAAAATGATCCCTTTATAGGGTAAGTACGTACGACCATGGTCATATGTGCTCAAATGCAACAAAACCTAACATATGTTGTACTCATAAATAAATCCCATACCTCCCCAAGTTGTCATATTAGGCATATTAGTATAAATACTGGCATAAGTTTCAAATAAAATCATTAATTTAATTGTAAATAAATTTAAAACTCTTTAATAGTTTTATTAAAATTATAGTCAAAAATGTTTTTCAAATTATTTTTCACAACTGTTTTATTAGCCTATAGTCTGGCACTGGAGGACGATAAATATGACACCGATATTGAAAAGGTATGTCCAATATTTATATAAAAATGTTGTTTATATTTTTCAAATAAATAAATATTGTCGATGAAAATTTTACAAATAAGGGGCAAAATTAATTAAACTAAAACAGTCAAATAATTTTATATGATTACATTATTTGATATATGATTAGTATATTTACAGTTTAAATTTATTGTTATAAATCATAAAACTTTAAATTACTAATAAGCTTATGGAGCATTAAATTCATGTTTATGGGAAACCATATAGAGATTAAAAATGTAAAAATGTTAAATTTTGTATTAACTATAATATTTATATGTTATAAAAGTTTTTAAGTTTATTAAAAATGGGAAATTAAATCTATGTGACAGCGACTGGATCCATAAGTTTCTAATAGTGTTGTCAATAATATATTATTACACTTATTATGAAACGTTTACAGTTTCAAATATTATCGTTAAAATAAATTATACCGTATTCTCCGACAAATAGTCTCGTAAACCGGAACACGTGATCCACCCCTTAATGGCCGACCGGTCGTCCCAACGGGAGTTCACTGGCGAACAGATTCCCGAGAAAGAGCTCCAATCCCTGTTCGAGGCCTCACGATGGGCGCCGTCATCCAAAAACATACAACCCTGGAGATTTGTGTACGCCCTACCTAACACCACACGTTTCAATGAGTTTGCCGGGTTATTAGAGCCGGCAAACCAAGTATGGGCTAACAAATCAGCGGCACTGGTAGTTCAAATAGCGCCGTTATTTGAGGAATATAAGGGAAAAGTGTACCCAATTGTCCCGTTTAAAGCCATGTTTGACTCCGGGTCGGCCTACCTGTCACTGGCGTTAGAGGCAGCCGGTAGAGGGTTGTCAGCTGTGGCACTGGGAGGTATTGACTACGACAGGGTGTATAAGGTTGTGAATGTGACCCAAAAGTCACATCAGATCCCTATTATGATAGCCATCGGCAAGAATCCGGACAATAAGGACAGAAAGACTGCGAAAACTATTACTCCGAGAAATACGGAAAATAAGTGGCTTTTCAGGGATACCTTCGTTAACACCGACCCCGACGGACAGGATTTGGAGTTTCAATAATTTATGAAATATTTTTAATTTAAATAAATAAATTACATTAATTATTATATCTAAATAAATGATTTGTGTAAATAATTTATGTGCCATGGATTTACTAATTTAGTGTAAAATGATTAATTTTATAAAAGTAAAATATAATTTAATTTTAATCTTAATACAATAGGAGTTGCCTAAACTATCCGAAATTATAGCCATAATGTTTGTATAGTTATCATGATATTTTTAATGATTAAAAGCTACAGTTACATAAAATTTATGAAGCATTTCATTTTATTGTAAATTTACTAGCTATTCTATAAATCTAATGAAAATATTAATGAAATAATATGTAATTTTTTAGAACAAATTAATATAACCCCGGTCATACATAAATGGGTTTTAATTTTATTTATTACCGAAATTGTTTTATAATTTTCAAATTTTATAAAATAAATTATTTTACTAAAAATACATTATAAATATAATTAATAACTTTGAATCCCATGGATATAATTATATACGTTATAAAAGATGTTTAATGAAAGTATAATAATTATATTACAGTTCTGTTTAGTTATTAAAAATAGTTACAATATATTGTTTTTAACGAATTATTAAAATATATTTACATATTATTTATATTATATAAATATTTACAAACATTAACTTAATCAATTTAACTAACTTAATTTAGTTAAAATAAATAAATAAATATTATACAGAATATACATAATTTAAATTAACAATTAAAGTACAATTAATTATCAAACTAAAAACAATTTCAAGTATTATTACTATTATTGCTAATGTATTGGCTACAGAATACACAATAAATATTGTGTAAAACTTGTTTAACTTTAATGTTGTCCATTTGTATGTTTCCATGGTAAACGTTTTATACAGGTAATGTTTATTTAGCCAATATTTAAATAAGTCAGCACTTTTCATACGTGACAAACTATTGTAAATAAAATGATGAAAACATTATAAAGCAACATGTATAATTAGAAAATATAAAATTAATTTTTTTTGCATACATTGTGTTAAACTCATTTTTGTAAGCAAAACCTTTACGAAACCCAATTGAATCTAATGTTAAATGAATTGATAATTTATCAGGTACATAATACTGAGTAATATTCCAGTAGGATATACAATTTATTAAAAATCTGCGTTCTACAATTATCGTTGTCCATGAGCTAGGTTGTTTTGCAAAGTATTCGCATGGTGTCAATTTATCCACTACTACCGATATTTTGCCAAACATTTTATAAAGATCACTTTGTTTATTCTATGAAATTAATAAAATTTATGAATATGGAAATTGCATATTAAATTGTTTACCTTGATAATACTAGAATACAATGCTGATCCATATTTAAAACCCATTTTATTCAACCTACCATGTTCAACTTCGTTAGCTAGATCATTTATTGTCTCGATACGTATTTCCTTAGGAGTAGCGATTAGAGAATATACACATCCGGCATAACTTGCTGCTAATATTAAACTGCTAATCATCCAGGTGCTTATAATAAATCGACATAGTGGCGGTTTAATATTATTAACTTTAATCGATTGCGAGAATACTATCATAAATAGTGTCCAAAATATTGCACAATTAGCTTTATTTAATCTAATTAGACTTATTAATATGATTGATATTAACAATAATATCCAGGTAGGTATGTCAAATATTCCAAATAAATTAATAAATAATTTATATTTAGGTAGAGGTGCGGCAAACGTATAAGAGTCTACCAAATGTGGGTAAGCAAAGTCTATGGCCTCCATGCGCTCACTGGTCATTGTAATCCCGGATATGGCTAAGTCTGCTTGCTACAATTTAAATAAATGTTACATACGTTGTCAAAATTATATTGTAACATTTTTAATTAATATTTTACATGTTTATGCAGTAATCCAACAATACCCGTCCACGTAGTAATATTATTAGTAGCTAGTTTATGACCCCAGCTCATATGGCAATCGATAATGTCGTAGGTGAAATTTAGTAATTTTTGCATTTCGTGAATCATATCGACATCCAATCCCTTTAGAAACTCCAACCGATTTAGTCGTGTATTGTTGTATAGAGAGACATCTGGCGGTGACTTTAAAAATATTTTTTAAATATATAAATTGTTAATAATATTGTTTAGAATAAAATTCTAAAATTAGGAACTATTTGGAAACGGATCAAGTACTATTTTATTAATTTTTGAAATATTATATATAAAAATAACATAATGTGTACAGTTTGCTGTAAGAAATTCAATATTATTTACTGTATGATAGTTTAATATTTTAAAATTTTCTTAAATAATAATTATCTGTAGTTAAATATTATTAAATAACTGATTTATATTATAACCTTTTTTATTATATTCTACTAAGTATTATAGTACAATATATTTGAAATAAATTAAACTAAAAAATATAACAATAACTTACATTATTAGTAGCGATTATCAAATGTTTATTAATTTTCATCATGTTTATAACTATATTATTTATTCATATAAATTACATTATATTTTCTTAAAAGCAAAATATACTTTTATTTTATCATAAATTTACATTATTTTATTAAAATGATTTTGACATTTTAATTATGTAAAAATTTCTATTTTTCTATTTATTATATAAATAATAATAATCAATATTTTAAGTACATTTTGAGTATATTTATGAAATATTACACAATGTTTATTAATATTTACATTATTTTACGCTAATGTTTGCACGAATATAATTATTGATTCTAGGACATTTAATAAATATTTTTAAATAAACTTTCTCAAATAAAAATACAAATATAGCAATCATAAAACCTGCAATATAAATCATGAATATTGTAATGAATTTATTTAAAGCTAACCCGGACCAATATCTATTAGGGAATTCAAATGTATTGACTCTATTTTCCAACCAATGTTGAATAAAACCACCAGTTTTTAACTGAGCCAGACTAATTAAATAATATAATATTAATGTTTTTAATTAAATAAAAATCGTACAAGTTACATTTTTTCGAATTTAGTTTTATATTCAAAATTCTTTCTAAACGCTATTGAATCCAATGTTAATAAAAATGATGTTTGTTCAGTAGCATCAGGCACATAATATTTTGATATCCCATAATAATTAACGCAATGCCGTAAAAATCTTCGCTCGCTCATTATTGATACTAAATTAGTTGTCATTTTTAAAAGCATACAGGTATCATTTTCATTAAATATAATCCCTTTAGTTTTAATTAAGCCAGATAATTTAGTAATGTTGTACTAAATAAAAAAATTATTATAATTAATAAGTTATAATAAAATTATAAAAATAATTTTCTTACTTGCAATAGATCATGGTAAAATGCTGAACTACCTCTCACAGCTAATTGTACACGGTCATTTTCAGCCTCGTTAATCAATTCGCTAATAGTTTCTATACGTATTTCCTTGGGTATCGTAATTAGCGAGTACACAAACATACTGTAACAATTAGCTATTATTAAGCTACCAAGTAGAAATGTACTCAATATAATTTTATTAGTCAATGATAATTTAATCCTGGTGCTAAATGGCTGCTTAATGCTTATTGAAATTAACATCCACATAATCGAGATCGTTTTACATTGTTTGCGTTTATCTCTAGTATAGGACAATAATAGCCATAATATAGTCAAATCTATAAAAATTAATAGCCAGACAAAAATGTCGAATATTTCAAACAGGTTCACAAATCGTTTGTACCTAGGTACAGGTGTGTTATACGCATAGGAATCAATAACGTATGGGTATGAAAAATCAACAACTTCTAAACGTTCATTTGTTACACTTATTCCGCCTAGACCTATGTCAGCTAGCTAAAATTAAATTAAATTAAATTGACAATCTATAATTAGTATTAAATTTAGATAATTAAAAATTGTAAACAATTATCAAACTTACATTTTTATGCAATAATCCTATAATACCGTTCCACTCACTATTATTTACTGCAGATTTTGTACCCCACATCATATGACAGTCAACAAGGTCATACGAAAAATTTAGCAGGCTTTGTGCGGTCTTAATTATATTAGCATCTAGGCCAGCTTTAAACTCTAATTTATTTGTAGCTGGATCATTCAATAAATATACATCTGGTGGGGCCTACGGCAGATATATTTTATAATTATTAAAAAGCATGTAAATTCATACAGATAAATTAATTAACTTACATTATTTGTAGCAATTATTATATGCATATTAAAAGGAATTAATTAGCCACCTACTATAATGTCACAAAATTATAAGGTTACTTAAATTAATTACTTGGTATAGATACACTTGCAAACAAAAACACTTTATTATTTTAACTAGCAATTTTCTTAAAAGCAAAGTATCTGACAAAATATATTATTATTAATACTTTTTTAGTACAAATATACGTACATATTTACATAAATAAAAATATCTTACAAATGAATTGATTGTGTAATTAGTTTTATGAATAATGTATCAAATATTGTATATTATCCGATAAATATGACGTTAATATTTTGTGATATTTTATTAAACTACTATTTGTTATTTTTATATCACAAGATTGTTATAAAAATATACTGTATTTATTGATTAGTAAAGTTACTTGTTAAAATATTTATATTTAGCTTCCACTCTGTTTATAGTGTCACGATAAAACTATTTATAGCAAACTAATAAGATTTTTAATTTAATTTGTTTGGATTTTAATCAATATTTGAATTTAATAAATTATAAATATTACTTTGTCGTAAAGTTAAATAATTATTTCATTTTATAAAGATAATTTGCACTGGCTAATCGAAACAACAATTTTAATAAATGATTATACTAGTAAATAATGTTTCTCCAAAATGTAATTACATCTTAAATGTAAAATAAAAATTATTAATTCATTTAATATATAAATAGTGTTTTGTTAAATAAAAGTGTCTACTTAATGTAGACTGTAATTAATAATAAAAATCATTAATTATTTAATATTCATTTAGAACT